AAGACTTGAAATGGCTAGGGAAAGAATCTCTGAGCACAGATATCTATCACTAGAAACCTCTAAAACTGAACATCAAGTAGAATACAAATGGACAAAACCAAAATAGAATATCCAAGAACTGTGAAACAAGTACACGAGAAGTAACATGTGTAATGGTAATAACAAAAAAAAGGAAAAAATGAAAAAAAATCCAAAAACCACAAGAAATTAATGACTGAAATGTTCTCAAATTAATATCAGACACCAAAACAGGATCCACAAGGAACATCAGGCAGCAGAAATGCCCCAAACAAACTAAAGATATCAAAATTACACTTACAAGCATATGTGTGTATATATATCTTTCGTTTTGTTTTGTGTATGTAACAGACCTGGCTGTCCTGGATCTCACTCTGTAGACCAGGCTGGGCTTGAACTCACAGAGATCCACCTGCCTCTGCCTCCTGAGTGCTGGGATTAAAGGTGTGCACTACCACTGCCCAGTATTTAGGCATATTTTTATTTTTATTTTTGGTTTTTCGAGACAGGGTTTCTCTGTGTAGCTTTTCGCCTTTCCTGGAACTCACTTTGTCGACCAGGCTGGCCTCAAACTCACAGTGGTCCGCCTGGCTCTGCCTCCTGAGTGCTGGGATTAAAGGCATGCACCACCACTGCCCGGCAAGGCATATTTTTAAAAGATTTATTTTATCTGTATTAGTGTTTCGTCTGCATGTATGTATGTGTACCACATGCATGCCACAATAGTTTAGAAAAGGGAACTGGATCCCCTGGAAATGAAGTTACAGACAGCTGTGGGCTACAACCATGGGTACTGAGAACCAAACATGGTCTTCTGCAATATCAATGAGTGCTCTTGTTCCCTGAGCCATCTTGCCAGCCCCAAGTTATTTTAAACCAAAGAAAACCAAAGTCAACGAGCCAATACTAAAAGCACCCAGAAGATGGAAGAAGGGAATTCCCTGAGTGCAGAGGAATGATGGTAAGAATGGCTTCATGCTCAAAATCTATTACAAGCTTTCATGAACATGGTTTTTTGCAGCTCAGCATAGCAAAAAGCTTTAAAAGAAAATGGTAAAAAAGAACAAGAATTACATATTTTCAGAAACCACGGAAACAAGACACATGGCAAAAACTATTTAACAGGTAAGAGAAAAAAATACCACTATCTTAGAATTCTGGAACCTGAAAAAATTATTCTTCTGAAGTGAAGAAAGAAGTAGCCACAATTTTCTCAGACAATAGTGCATTTGTTACTAACAGGCCGGCTCAGCAAGAAATACTAAAAAGAAGTGTGGTAGAGAGGAAGAAAATAACCACTACAAAAGTAAAAGAAGTCTAACTGACATACTATAGAAAAAAGGAGGACTCTAATCAAATGCCT